AATGTTAAACTTATTTTCAAATTGAATATGATGTGTTCTATTGTGACTATCACCATCCGAATAGACTAGAAGACTAAAAATCCTATAGTCTATTTTACTTGACTCTTGAACCGAAAGGGGAGAGGTCAATTGATCGAGACTCATACAAAATAGACATAATCCGAAAGGTATTGTCTAGGTGTTAAACAACTTGTTAATTTACCGTTTATATTTATTCTCATAATCCGAAAGGTATTGAGGATGAATCTCTAAACGTGTAGGTGACTCGAATTATTTAACCGAACAATCACGAGCCGATGATTGCATTTCGATTCAAATATTCATTCCCGATTTCCTAGCATCTTTATATTTATATCGTTTATATTTTTAGATAGATTATCGTTTTATGTTATTTATTAGTTAATATTTTAGTTAATCATTTTCCAACTCTATCATGATTAGAATGTGTAGGACTTATTTTTCTTTTATGTGTTATCAACACCAATTCTAGATTCCGAACAGTCTTCCTCGAGAGATCGACCCGGGAAACGAATCATTTGATTCGGTGCTCGGTAAAATAAAAATAATTTGTACACAACACACCACCCCCGCTCCGACATTGGAAGGCGCTCAAAGGGCTTTTGTGGACGCTCTCAAAAATTTTTGCAGGATATAAATGAATACTCTAAAGATTTTTCTAAAAATCAAACTAAGTCCGGAGTTAAACTGGTATACTTAAACTGAATTGTTTTAACTCGAAAAACACTCGAATTTATACTAATAAAAATCTCGGACTCAATTATAATAATAATCAAGGATTATACCTCCTTTCGAATAGACGAAAAGCTGAAAAATTTGAGAAAACGAAGCCTCGAACGATCGAACTCGTCCTCGATAAATTTGCTCCTTTTGATACTATTTAACGCAGAAATTCAAACTCCTATAATAAATGCTCGGAACTCCGAAAAATGCGAAATTTATCCGTATGGAATCGTGCTTGAATTGTCTACACGCTCCAACTCGATTCTCGTTAAACCAAGGTCACACGCAACCTTATGGAACCCCGCAAAACGGCATTTTATTCTTCTATTATGCGCACTCGACTTCGAGCTTCTCAAAATAAATGCTCGAAACTTCGAAATGTGAAGTAAATTTTATGAACGGCTTCTACTGTTCTCGTGCTTTCAAGAAAGCACTCCCGCTAATTTTTAGCACGCCTAACAAGGGCCGACGGTTACCCGAAGTCTAGACGTGAAAATGACAATAAAATCACCGCCACTGCCATTTTTCTCTCAACTTTGGGCTACCTCAAAATCATAAATCGATGCCACCAACGCACTCTTCGCTTCCCGTACTTTCATAAAAATATTTTTCGGTAATGATCGACTCGGTTTTTGAGTCCCGTCGGTACACCGCAAGTCGGCTAATTAACCAACTCAAAATATAATAAAAATGAAAAATTATTAAATTCTGCTGCTGTTATAGTTCTCTTTGTCCCGAAACGAGGATCCCGTTTCGGGAGGACCCAATTTGCCTTTAAAAAAAAATTTTCACGACAAAACCGGTGGCGCCCCTCCGGCCATGTATGTACCGCATGAAATCGGGGAGGGCCAAACGTGCGCGCTCAAAAGAAAATATTCCAGTTCCAGCAAAATCCTCCACCCCTAGTTTAAATTTTTTTTTTGGAGGGGCCGGCGCCACTCCAACCCCCCCACTAGTTTCGCCCCTGATTACACTATAATATACAATATTATATTTTTTTTCAGGGGGGTCGAATTATTGCAATAATAAGAGCAATAAACATCCCTACTTTCATCAATAAATTTGAAGAAGGGGCTGTCTATGCACTTCGAAACTATCAGGTCGAGAGTAACATTGGAATGTACAGATCCACCATTGCCAAATACAGGCTTATCTTACATGGTAGAACTGAACACATAAGCTACAAGGGTGACTTTTCAATTTACCATTTCGACTTTCGAAGGTTCATCACATTGACTGATGTCGAGAAGATCGACGAATCAATCTTATTCGGTAATCGCATTTTCAATTATTTTTATTTTAGTTTTTAAAATTTTTATGATAAATAATAATTTTACTCTAATTTAACACATATTTAGATGTCATTGGAATGGTGGTCGAGATAAATCTTGTGCAATTGAAGAATAAAGCATAATACTATTTTAAACAACACATTTAAATAACATAATTACAATAAAGCATCCTTAATATTTATCAGTGAATAATATAATAATATAATTTTTATACCATGCTAATATACTAACAGAAATACATTTAATGATTAAACACGTGTACATTAACTCAGTCAATCTCTCTACACGAAAAAAAAAAATCTAAACAACCAAATCAATTAATGAATTATTCAAATCATTGTAACTTATCTTATCATCAAATCACAATTTGAAGTTAGTCAAATGATGTTCAAAAAACATAATAAAAATAATTACACACATGTAGATTTCGTGGTCATCTTTGTAGACGAAAAAAAAAATAAAAAATCTTAACTACTTAACCAATTAATATACTATCCAAATAATTTGAACTTATCTTATCATCAACTTGCAGTTTGAAGTTTTTAAAATTCATATTTTAAATTAATCTTATCATTTATTATTATTATTATTATTATTATTATTATTATTATTATTATTATTATTATTATTATTATTATTATTAATGAACTTCCCAACGTAGATAACCTATCACAACCCATCTTATACACTCCCATTTCACATACCAACAGAAAAATGGCAAGAGCATGGGACCACATCAAACAAATAACAAGGACCAACGACCTATGCTGAAGTTAAGAGTGGTTCGAATTTTTCAAGAACTAATGAATACTCTTCCTACAAGAACATCCTTGAAATTGTCTTGCATGACATTGAGGTATGAATCACAATCAAAATTAATAACTAATCTTCTCATATTTTACCCTAATTCTTAAAATTATCTTTTTTCACAGAGAGGTCGAATTTCAAAGAAGAAGTAACAACATTTTCTATTGTTAAGATGACATGTGATTAAAATCTGATATCTATGTACAATCAGTGGGTTACCGAGAAAGAAGTAAGTTTAATAAACAAAAACATAATCATGTTGATTTATAAGCAATGATTAAATTCAAGAACTTATAACATTTTCTATAAAATTTTATAGGAGCCTAACTTCTTGACTTTACTACAACATGAAGAGGCTAACAACGGCAAGGTCAATGTTCATTTTTCACACTTATTATTTTTCTTTAAAATTGTAAATTTATTTCATACAAATAATCATATACAATTTAAATACTAAAATTTTTATTTTGCAAATTGTTTCATAAGGCTGCACTGGAGAAGATGAAGTTTCAACACCTTTAAATCTCTCAAATGTAAAGAGAAGGTCGACAACACTTCTAATGCAAGACAAAGGTGGGCGACCAAATAATGAAATAAAGGACAATTTTGATGAAGAATTGATTTGCTAAGATATTATTGGTTTACTAAAGTATTTTATTATAATATTAGGATTTTATTTGCTTTGAAAACTTTCATTGAATAAATTGGCTTCGACAACATGAATAATTTAGGTTTTAATATTGGAGTTCAGTTTGTGTGATTTTATATTTGGATATTATTGGTTATTAATGTTATTGATTTTTATGGCTAATGTTGTACTATATTTTTTAAGTATCTAATTATATTAATGTTTAATACGCAACACTGGTAATCGAAATAAATGAAATTATAAATAAAAACATTGGAAATTCATTTTTCTTTTCTTTTTTTTTTTTAACTTTTTTTATTAATATAGATGTTAAGAGTTAAATAAATTATAACAAACATTTATCACTTTATTTCTTTTAAATAAAACAAAATTAAACCTATACAATTGAACAAAGGAATTAATTTAATACATCTTTTTGTCTTCCAATGTTTAAGTTAATAATATAACCACGCAGAACTAACTGTATGATTTTTTAATAATTAAAATTTCCGAACAACAAATACAGTGTATAAAATAAATAATTTAGAAATTAATTGTAAATATTAAAGCCCCATACATTTATGTTGTAATTTTTTCATGGAAGAGTTGATTATGAAACGTAATAATAGAATAAATAATATCAACACCTTACATTAATTACTCAAGTAATTATAAGAAATAACATTCAAGTAAATAATCTATACATAATAAAAAGAGCAGTTGGGGTACATAACTCTATCATTATAAAAAATAAAAAAAATAAAACAATTATTTAAAATTTTAAAACATAACATAATTTAAAACGTTTTTTATCATCAAAATGGTAAGAGTTTGGGATTGATAGAGTCATTAATAAAACTACACTTTGTGGTTATCCAAACAACTAACATAATACTAACACATGTTAAATATACATGTAAACAAATATGACAGTTCTCCATATGGTTTCTTACGCCACGACTATAAAAAAGAGACAAGGACAATCCTTATCTCATGTTGGCTTATTTGTTAAGAAACCAGAGTTCAATCATGACCAGTTATATGTTGTTGACTATGAACAAGAGACATGGACAATTATTATCTCATGTTGGCTTATTTCTTAAGAAAACAGTGTTCAGTCATGACCAGTTATATATTGTTGTCTCCCGTGTCACTAATCGAAAAGGTTTGAAAATGTTTATTTGTGGGTAAGATGATCCGCCAAAGAATCAAACCAATAATGTTGGATATAGAGAAGTGTTCGATAATATATGAGTTTAATTATATGTTTATATGTCTAATCTTATGATCATTGCATTATTACCTAATTTATATACAAAATTGTCTTCTAAAAAATGCATAGATTATAATTTTCTCGTGCATCGCACGGGTGATTACTAGTATAGAAAAATATGAACCACGAAAAATGGATGATAATTCCGGAAAAAAAAAAAAAAA